CGTGTACCCCGGTTGCTAGCCCGTGGCTGTATGCCACTGGCTCGCAGGGGGGGTCCTTCACTGCTCTGCCCGGCGGCGCCGGCTGACGTTCCCGCCCCCCGCCCTGACCGGGGCTTCCCCGTGCCTCGCCCGGACCTGGCAGTCTCTCCCTGGCACAGGGCACACCGCTGCCCTCGCCGCCGCCGCCCCCCCCCCCCCCCCGGCTCACACTTTACCGAGGAGCGCAGCCATCCGGCCCGTTCGGCCTCGTTGGCGGATCCCCGCCCTTATTCCGCTGGGCCGATGTGTGCGGCGTCCGGCTTTCGCATCGAAGCTCGTCCCTGTGCGAGGCCACACACACATGCACACACGGAGCGAGAGGGCGCTCTCGATTTTCCAGTCGCCTGGAGGGGGGGGGGGGCGCGGAACACCGGAGAGGCGAAAAGCCATGACATATACGGTGGCGAATTTCAACGCGCCGCGCGATATTGGAGAAGCTTCGCCCCGTTGGCTCCGCACACAAGCCCGTATGCTCAAGGAGGCGGCCGGCGTCTTCGCCTCCGCCACGCAGCCGGCTCCTTGCCGCCCACTTTTGCGTCTGCCCCCGGCCGCCACGCCTCCCGCACAACCGCATGCACACGGCCCACATGTGGAGCGGGCTTGGGTCGGAGAAGCTGGCCCCCCACTCCCCCCTCCCCCGGGCACCTAGGCCGGGGCGAGGGGCGCGGGGGGGGGGGAGATGGAGCGAGGGCAAAAGGCCGGGCGCCCGAAATCCACCAACCCAGGGACGCCTGTGACCCTGGCCCCTAGCCCGCCCTGTCCGAAGGAACAACGGGGGCCCGGAAGCCGGGTCCCCCGCGCCCACTACCGATCCCACCCTCTCCAGCCTCGGACCCGGCCCGCGTGAGCCCGGGCCGGACAAGTCCACCGCCGGGGTGTATTACGTGTATGTGCATGTGTGTGTGTATGTGGGTAAGGGGGCAGGGTGCGGGGCGAGTCCCTCTCGTACCCGACACGGTGACGACAGAGCTGCGCCCCCCCCCCCCCCATCCCCCTCCAAGGGCCCAAGAAGGACCGAGATCACTGACGCCGCCTGCACGCCCGGGCGTTTGAGCACCGCCCAGGCAGTCCCGGGCCCCGTTGTGACATGCTCGCTTTCAAGGTACCCATCTGCGTGATTGTTTTCGTCTCCCCCCGGCCCCTTCTCCCTCGGTACCCCTTCCTTCTGTCCGGGGGAATAATGATGCCAATGCCATGGGTGGTGATGATTTGGGGACGAGGGCAGATGTTGCGGCGGGGCAAGGGTATACACGGTCAGACCACAACATCCTCGTTCCCCAAGGAGTACGTGGCCCCCCCCCCCCCCCCCCGCCCTCGCTCCCTGAAAAAGGCAGGGTGCAGAATGTCGGCGCACGACGAGTTAAGGATGCCCGGCTCCCCGTGCCGGAGATCACGCCCAAGAAAAGTCGCCACACGAAGGATCACACCACCAACGGCCCTGGGATGCTGATGTGTGTTGTGGGTCATTTGGTGCCGATTGGGGCGGCCCGTCCACCGCCTCCCCTCGTCTGGGATCCGCCGAATTTAGGCCGTGCCAAGGGTGTGCCCTCCGGCAGCCTGCGCGTCTCCTCGTGGACGCCAGCCAAGGCGAGTGCACTCGGGAGTGCACCCGGCCCGCCGCACATATGCCCTACGTCATTTTGCCTTGCCAGGTGGGCTCTCGCAGTGGCCTCCACAAGTTGACCGTCTTTCGTTCGTGAATGCTGGGTGCAATGGCGAGCCGCCCAGCGGCATGGGGGTCTCTCAACCGCGCTGGCCCGGGCTCTCCCAGGTCAGAAGGGGAGGCGGCCTCACAGCCAGCGCCGGTCCTGTCGAGCTGGTCGCTCCCCCGGGGCCATTCGTGATGGCACGGGCGCCTGAGGCGGGGGGAGGGGGGGGGAAGAGGCACGCGCGACGGCGTTCATCCCCACCAGGCTCCCACACACCTTCGTGGGGCAGGCGGCTCGGTCGACCGGTCTCAAGCGGGCTAAGCAGCCCGAATGCCGGGCTCCACTGGGTGCCCTCCATCGGTGTGCACGGCCCCGGCGGGCCATCTCCCACCGGGCCGAGGCGGCCGGTGCCCTTTTCCACCCGCGTCTTGCCAATAATCTCCCACGCCGGGGATCGGCCCGATTGCCAACGGACCCTGGTCCCCCTCCTCCACCGGGCGGGGAATGTGTCTGCCCCGTTGTGCGCGGCCCAGGCCGGGGGAATGCACATGGGGGGCCCTGGTTTCCCTCGTTAAACAGCCAGCCCAGCCGATCGGGGCCCCTGCGGCCGGCCACAGCCCCTCCCGCCAACCTCCTCCTTTGTACATACTGTTCTCTCCCTCTCCCTCTCCCTCTCCCTCCCTCCTTCCCCTCGTCTTCTTCTCCCGCACCCCCCCCCCCCTCGCGCGTCTCTCGCCCCCTCGAAACACCCACCCGCGCGCGCGCGTGCGCCTGTCCCCGATGTTTGGCCTCCGCCTGCCCGGGCCCTTCTCCGGCGGGGCAGCCGCCGACGGCGGCGCCAACCCCGCACAGCCCTCCTCGGCGCGGGGGCTTTTCTCCACGATCGCGCCCTCCCCCGCCGGTCTGCCACAGATGGGCGGATCGGACATCTATGACTCGGACGGGCGCTTCGAGGTTGACCGGGTCTACGAGAAGGTCCTGGCCAACTTGGAGGACTTCTTCGGATCGGACATCCTGCCGGACCTGTCGGAGTTCTGCGAATCCCTGGCCCAAGTGCGCAACGACCGGCAGTCCAAGCTGCGCATCGCCCTGCAGGACCATCTCCACCAGGCCTCCGGCTGGACCAACCAAATCCAGCAGCGCTTCGACGACGCGGTCACCGTGGAGCAGTCCCTCTCGCAGGCCATCCAGCTGTGTGCCAGTGCGCAGGGGGCATTGCCCGACTTTGACAAGCTCTTTTTCGCGCATGTCTCCCACCGCCGGACCGAGCAGGTGCAGCACATCACCTCCACCCTGGAATCCATGCAGGGGTTGATCATTCACCTGCGGCAGCGCATCCAGGCCGACCAGGCCGACTTGGAGAATACCCAATTCGAGCTGTATGTCTTCATGATGCTGGCCCGGCTTCGCCTATTCCAGCGGCATTGTGTGGCATCGGTGGCCGCTCGGCCGCCCTCCCAGTCTGGCTTCCGGCTGCTGGACCTGCTGGAGTTCATCATCGAGGATTCCACCCGTCTGGCGGCCGAATTTGAGGCCCTGCTGATGGCCATCGCCGGGGAGCAGCTCCGGCTGGCCGATGTCAACCCCTCGGCCGTGGTGGCCCTCTATGTGATCGTGGCCAAGGCCGAGGAGATCGACCGGTCGCTGGCCGCCGGGGTGGCCCTGCCGATGACCATCGACCCGCATGGCCGGTGCTTCGAGCCGGACCCCGTGGTGTTGGACCACCAGAATGAGGTGCTCGCGGCGGCGGCCGCCGCCGAGGCAGCCCGTGCGGCCACCGTCGCCGACCGGCCGAGTCTCCTTCGACGCGCGGCGGCCGTGGCCCCGACGGCCGTGGCCAATCCCCGCGGCACGTCGGCCGCCGATGCCCTGTCCCCCGGGGCCGAGCAGGATTACATGCGGTCGGCTGCCAACATCCTGGACTCCTTCCGGTATGACCTCCGAAGCAAGACCCTGGCCGCGGTGGCCACGGCCATCAGCTCGGAATTTGCGGCCCTCGCCCGGCATACCCCCCTGCCGGAGGTTCTCGGGCCCCTGTCGGCCTTCATCGACTCGTCGGTGGTTCGATTGATGGATCTCCTCCGGCCGCTGGTGGACCCGAGCCTCGGGGTGCCCCGGCTCTTTGTACGGGCATACCACGCCCACACCAATGACCTGCTGCTGCGGATTCTGCGCGACCCGAAGCTCTCGCGGCCGCACCTGCTGGTGTTGTTGCAATTCATCGAGGGCTACCAGGCATCCATGACCGGGCGCCTCGGGGTGCCGGCCGATTGGCTGTCCCCCCCCCTGCTGGCCGACCAGCGGGCCACCATCTACCAGCGGTACAATCGCGAGGTGACCGTCATGCTTGGGACGTGGGTGTTGAATTTGCTTCAGCGCGAGCGCCAGGCCTTCATCCGGCGGACCGATGCGCCCCCCATCGACCCCGGCACCGGGCACTTCCGGTCCACGGCCAGTGTCCTTCTTTTCCAGATGCTCAACCAGCAGCTGGACCAGACCCTCACCTCCTCGAGCTTGCCGCTGGTGGAGCAATTCCTCACCTCGGCGGCCGGGCTGCTGGGCGAGTCGCGGCTCTTCCTCCTGCGCATGGTGGTCATCGAGTTGCGCCGGTACCTGGCGCACTATGGGTCCGGGTATCCCTTCCTGCTGTCGGTCTTCCCGGTGGAGCTCTTCTGCGTCCGGCTTCCGGCCCTGGAGGAGGCGGCCATGGGCGGGTCCTCCAGCGGCCCGGCCACCACCGGCTCGAGCAAGTCCCCGGCCAACCCCTTCCTCCAGACGCCGGCCCCCACCGGCATGGCGGCCCTACCGCCGGCCGTGGTGGCCATGCTCACCGGCGGGTTTTGGTCGGAGGAGATGCCATACGAGGCGCCCGGGTCGGGGCCCGGGTCGCCGGCCCTCGGCCCCGGAAGCACCCCCTCGCCGCCGACCGGCGGCGGGGACGATGAGGATGACATCCCCGGCGGGCTGGTGGAGTACCTGCTTCTGACGTCCAATACGCTGACCTCGAGCTCGGATTTGCTCGCGGACTTCATCGCCCACCTGCGCAAGCTCCTGGCGCGGGTGGGCCCGAGCGAGGCATTGTTTGCCCCGCTGCAGGAGGCCCTGCGTGACTTGCGCCTGGGCGCCACCTTCCCCCTGTTCGGGGCCATCTTCCTGATGCTGTGTGATACCTTCCGCCTGTTGCGCGGGTTGCTGACCGGGCGCTGGTATGAGGAAAACCTCATGACCGATGTCATTGCCACCTTCGCCGATTACATGGAGGACATTCGGCCGCGCATTCCCCTCTACTCCTTCGACAAGCTGGGGGTCATGCTCCTGGAGCAGGTGGTCGCGTGCTACATTGATGCCCTGTTTTCCCGGGCGGCGGTCTTCCGCCCGGGGGAGCTGGAGCGCCGGCTCAAGGCCGACACCGAGGCCCTCGGGGCTCTCTTCCGGCCGCTGATCCAAAACCCCAGGCGCCTGGAGGAGGCCCTGAAGCTCATCCACTCGCTATGCAGCATGACCGTCTGCCCGCACACCAATGTCCACCTCTTCTTCGAGGAGTCGCGCCGTGTATGCGGCACGCTCACCTCGACGCACGTGGCGCGTCTGCTGCAGCGCCGGTCCGACCTGACTCGCGAGCAGAATTCCAGTGCCCTGGCCACCTGTCGCAAGGTGGAGGAGAGCCAGCCGCAGCCGGCGCCCCCGCAAAAGGTCCTCCCCACCACGGTGCCCACCAGCGTCGATCACATTCAGTTGGCCCTCGAGCGGGCCTTGAGCGGGCGTTCATAGGCCGGCCCAGGCGGATGTGCATGGCTGGGGCGGGGCGGGGCGGGGCGGGGCCTCCGCGCCCCTCCCTCCCCCCCCCCTCTCTCGGGGGGGTAGGCAAGCAACAAATACACGCGTTTCCCCCGGTCGATTGCCCCCCCCCCCCCCTTTTTTTCTCTCCTCTCCTCGGGGTAGCCCCGCCATTTGGGTCTCTCGGTTGTGTGCTTTTCTCGCAGGGAGGACGGCGGGCCACACACAGGGGCGCGCGGCGTGCGTGCGCGCCTTTCCCCCCTCTCCTCCTCTCCCGACGGTCGGGCAGTGTGCCCTGGTGAGGCTGGCCAAAAAGTGAAGGTATAGCGACTGGTGGTTTCGATCCACCGACCTTTGGGTTATGAGCCCAACACGCTTCCCCTGCGCCAAGTCGCTTACAGGGGGGGTCCCAATCTGGCGTCAAATGCTTGGGCTCTTTGGTTGACCGTGGCCCGCCCCCCCCCCCCCTCGGCGCGGCGTTTCCAGCCCGGCCAATTCGTGTGAGATCTCTCTGGAAAGGCCGCCCGCCTGGCGGTGTGGCTGGTTCCACCTCCTGCCCTGCCCCCTGGTTGGAATCCCATCGAGGGCCCGCTCGGCGCCGGGACAACCGGACCGGAGACGGCCCACGGCCCCTTGCTTGGTCTTGTCTTCCGATGGCGAGCTGCCGCGGCTGCTGCTGCGGCGTTGCCACCGCGGCCGCTGCTTCTCTGCTGCCAACTGTCCCTTAATTGCCCGGCACCGTGTTGTGGCGGCAGCGCCGGGTCTGTCTGCCCCCCCCCCCCCCCCATCCGCTTTCCCCCCCCCCCCCCCCCCCCCCCCCCCCCCCCCCCCCCCGGGCCGATCCCCACCCCCCAGGCTGGCAGCGTTCCGTCTGACATGATCGGGACCTCCCCAAGGTGGATCGGGCAGCCGAGCATTCGGCCCCTCCTTGTTCGGCTATCGCAGCTCCGCGCACACCTGCCTGCCTGACAGGGACCGCCAGTTTGTGGCGCCCCCCCCCCCCCATCCAGCCAGGGGAGGAGTTGAAGGAGAGCCGCGCCGCGGAGCCCAGTGGAATCCCCTGCCCCCTACCCGCCTCGCCCCTCCCTTCTCCATCTCCCCTCACCCATATATCGCCGTTTCCTTTCGCGCCCTTGTCCCCCATTTTTCCTCCCTCTCCCCCACCACTCCCACCTGCACTAGGTCGATGATACCGTCGACAGTTGCCATGCCCAGCCTGAGTGCGGAGCCCCCGTTGGCCGATGCGGCTCCAGCGCACCAGCCCCCCTTTGGTCCAGGCGCCATGCCGGCCAGTCCCCTTCCTCCGACGGCGGTGTCCTCGCCGCTACATCCTGGCGGTGATGGCCCCGCGGCCGCGCGATCGCCCCTCACCGGTGGCCTGCCTCAGACCCCCCTCCCGTCGAACATGGCCGACCTGTCGAGCCCCGGGGGTGCGATCCCAGCGGTGGCCAGCAGCAACGCCAACATCAGCAGCAGCAGCAGCAGCAGCAACAATGGCAGCCCGCCGGCTCCGGAGCCCGGGCCTCCGGCATACTCGACCCCCGCCGTGGCGCCCTTTGCCAAGCTCTCCTCCGCGTCGCTGACCATCCCGGCCCCGGGCGGGGCGCCCTTCTCGTCAGGCGTCTCCCTGCCGAGTGGCCACAGCCACCATGGCGGGCCGACCGTCAGCGCGCTCTATGGCCATCCGTCAGCGTTGCTTGGGGGTCCTGGCGCCGGTGGGTCCGGGGCAGGCACCCTCGGCCGAGCGCCGCACACGTCCAGCATCTTCTCCTCCTCGCGTGGAATGGCCCCCGCTTCGTTGGGGACCCTGAAGCACCGGTTAACGCGCATGGCACGGCGAGCCACCCGCCGCGACCAAATGGACTTCGAGATGGCCTTCTGGACCGTGGCCCAGTTGCTGATCTCCCCGCGGCAAGTGTGCGCTCTCCTTCACAACAGGCAGCCGGCTGCCCCGCGTACCGGCCCTCGTGCCGGGCCCCCTTCCTTCTCTCCGGCCCACGGTGTCAGCTAACCACCGCCCTCCCCTGCCTTGCCACCCTCGTCTGCAGCTACCGCTCGTCGTACTACCGCAAGCACTCGACCGGTTCCTGGGCTCGAGATGATCCCGCGTCATACATCATTACTGGGGTGCTGGTTTTCGGTATGTCGGGCGCCAACCAATGTTTGAGCCTTTTCTTGTGCTTTCTGAATACCACAGTGGCACACACACACACACACACACTCGCTCACACACTCGCTCTCGCTCGCTTGCGCGCTCTCTCCCTCCCTCCCTCCCTCCCTCCCTCTCTCTCTCCCCCTCTCTCTCTCCCTCCCTCTCTCTCTCTCTCTCTCACACACACACACACCATTGTTTACTGATGGTCCCGTAAATAGCTCTTTCACTGCTCATCGGTCTCACGGTCAAACGGTCAATCTTGTCGGCCTTCTTCGGGGCTCTGCGCATTTTCCTGCTTGAGTGGCTTCTTTTCTCCTGCGTCGCTGGTGCCTGCTTCACCTGGTGCGCTGGATCTCCTGCCGCGTCACCTCCGAGTGGCTGATCCTGTCCATGACCATGCCCATATGCTGACCTTTGGCCACTTCGCCCGTCCCCCCCCCCCCCCCCCATCACAACCCGATCCGTAGGCTTGTTGCTGAACGCGTCCTGCGGCGCGACTTCTCCCAGCAGGCTCTCCCGACACACCCGCATGAGGCGGTTGAGCCGCTCTTCTCGCTGGAAATCCACCTCAACGCCACGGTTGGCATGGCTCTTGCTTGGTTCCTGCTGTGGATCCTGTCGAGCTGGACGCTGGCCGCCTCAGCCGGACGGCTGGCCGCCTTTGTGGCGAACCTTCTCCTGTCAATCGGCGTCTTTCACTACTGTTACATCGTCGCCCTGGGTTATGGTGGTGCGCTGCGCACCCATGGCCGAGCCCCTAGTCCCCCCCTCCGGCCTTGACTGACCCTCTTTTCCGCCGTCCATCCCCGGCCCTGCTCCCCCTTTGATCAGCCCTGCCCACGGTCAAGCATTCGGTCATCCTCCTGGCGCCGGCCGCCGTGTTCTTGGTCTTCACCCCGCTGCTGGCCCTACTGACTGGCTACAATGTGCCCTACAATCTAGCACTGCGTTACTTCTACTAGTCTCGCCGCGTATGGCCGCCAGCGCGCGAGGAGGACCGAAAAACCCGGCAAGTACTCGTCCATATCCCGATATCGTTGCTCCCTCCCCCCCCGTGAAAAAATACAACGAACAAACACACAAGCCCAGACCGCACCAGAACATAATAGCAACCAACAGGCCAGTCCTTCCGCGGCGCCTCTATGCCCACTCCCGCTCTCCTGCATGCCGCCCGACTTCGCCCCCTCCCCCGGCCGGTGAACGCAAAATAGACAAAGAGACTGAATCTCCCCCCCTCCGCTGATATTGAACCTCTTGCCAGACAACATGACAAGCAGTCCCACCATCTGAAAGGCACATGCATCGAAAAAGCCTATGTCCATTTCTCGAGGACTATATCCCCGGCGTGTCCGAGCGCATGCGTGGCCGGCGATCTAGTGCAGCCAAGACCTGGTTCAAATTGGCCACAAGTTGCCCGGCATTGTCAGCCACGAACTTGACCACCTCGCGATCGACCCCAGCCCCGGTGGATGCATGGGACATGTGCCGCGCCACGGCCACCTCCCGTGGAGTGGGGGTGCGCGGGATGCCGGCAGTCGCCGGCCGGCCAGCCTCGGCATCCTGGAGCAACGTCTCCGCATGGTGAAGCTGTGCATTGGCTCGCCGCTCTAGCATCTCCAGCAGCCGAGCCTCGAGCAGTCGGTGGCGATCAAGTTCCTGCCGAAAGACGAGGAGTGCGGTGTGCGCCATGCACAAAGCCGAGAGTCAGAACAGGGAAGGAGAGGAAAAAACATCTCAGGTGCAAATGCGCGATCGGCCGGGGGGGGGGGGGGGGCAGGGAGGGCGAAGGAGCCCGGCCAGGAGACGAACCGATTCCAGATCCACCAGGAGGCGCTCCGTCTGGCCGAGGAGTTTGCCGGTCAAGTTCCGCGCCTCGGTCAAGTTCGGCAGGATGCCCCCGTCCGAGGAGAGCATCCCGCCCGGTGATGCCGTCTCGCGGGCAACAAAGCGCACTGCATCAGCTGGCGGCGCCGGCGGCGGCCGGGGAAGGGCCCCGGAGATCGTGCGAAAGATGCTCCTCCGGGCGTAGTTTGCCGCCAAGTCCACCTTGGCCGAGCACTTGGAGTGGGCGATCGCCAAAAAGCGATCCATGCGCTGCAAAGGGAACCGGGCACGGTGAGCGGGCAGGCAAGACGGGAGCCCAAGGGGAGAGGGCCGTGGAGCAGGGAAAGAGCATAAAGGCAAGGCAAAAGGAGGAGCCAAGCGGACAGGGGCGGGGGAGACGCCGGGCGCACCGTGGTCAGGTGGTCCTCGGAAAAGCGCCGAGTTCCTTCCTCGTGCGAGGCGTCCATCGGGTCGTCACTCTCCGGAGGGAGATGGTCAGCGGCAGCGCTGAAGGCATCGGCAACCGCCACCTCGACCGCATCGTGAAAGGCGGCCGACACCGCGGCCAGGTAGGCGTCTGGCGAGAATCCCAGCAGTTGAGTCTCCCGCTCAAACCCATAGGGAGACATCAAGCTAATTTGTCGGGCCGACTCGACGGCGGCAGCCTCAACAGACTCAGCAGCTTCGATGGTGTCAGCGGCGGCGGCCGGTGCGGCGGCCGCGCCGGCCGCAGCCGCAGTGGCGACAGCCACCACCGAGCTCGAAGCCGCAGCGGCGCCGTCATTCGACACAGCAGAGCCATCGCCACTTGTGGGCCGGCCATCGGGCCCGGCCGGGCCCGGGAGATCGGCCCCGAAGGCCGCAATATTTGGCCGCGCCAGCCGGCTAGCCAAGATGCCGCCCGATGGCCTTGAGGGACGCGAGGGGCTCGGTGACCGGGGGGGCGATCGATGGCCGGTCGATTGCGACCGAGGGGGCGTGACATGCGGAGCATCCCAGGCGCCAGTCGCCCCGGCGGCCGAGGGCCGCCCGGCCGCGAGCGGCCCCTCATCCCCGGAGTCCGAGTCCGACGACGAGCTGGCCGAGGAAAGGGCGTCGAAGGAGGCGCGGATCTTGCGCAGTGGTGACGGCGGCACCGGCACGCGGTATGGGTGCCGGGGAGCTGGCGACGTCAGGCGCGGAATGCGCCGCTGCACTGGCGGCGGTGAGGTGGGCCCGGTATCCGACGAGTCTGGCGGAGAGCTGACAGCCGGCGGGGTTGCCGGGCGCGAGGCGTCAGGACGCGCACGCTTCGCCGGGCTCGTTTCCTCGGCGATTGGCACCGGAGTTGGCCGCTTGGACGGGACAGCGGGAGCCGCAGGAGCCGCAGGAGCCGCAGGGGCCGCAGGGGCCGCAGGAGTAGCAGGTGGCTCCGGTGCGGAGGTCGGGCGTGGCGCCATTTCAAAGCTGGCCGCGCTCTCCTCCGGACCGGGTAAGGCCTTGGCACCGGCCGGAGCGGGCTTGTTTGCTTGGCTGGGGGCCTGTGTTGTGGCCGGTGCGTCCGGCGGCGAGGGCGGGGCTTTTGGCGGCCCAACATCGGGCGAGATTTTGTCACCGCCGCCGCCGCCGCGGCCGCCGCCGCCGCCGCCGCCGCCGCCGCGACCACCGCCCGAGGCCCTGGAGCGTGTGGTGGTGCGCCGGCCGCGGGGCTGTAGGGAGGTGTCCTCGACAGCCATGGCTTAAGACTGAGATGCGCGAAGAGGTGTTCCTATACGTGTGTGTGTGTGTGTGTGTGTGTGTGTGTCGCCCCCCCCGTGCTCACCCGCTGTATGTGTGTACGTGCACACGGATGTGGAGGGCTGGGGAGTGGGCGAGGTGAAGGGTGTGGCGGTGCAGCTGGCGGAGGGCACTTTGTGACGAAAGAAACAAGAAGTGGAGTGGTGGCTGCAGGGAGGGCAAAAAAAAAGAAGAAGAAGAAGAAGAAGAGGGGAAGGGAGCATATCAGAAGGGGCTGCCCGGCTTCCGGTCGGAGATCGGGCACTCCTTCCGGTGGCCGAAAAAAATGTCCGCCTCTCCCGGGGTGGCAGCGGCGAAGCACAGGGCGGCGGGGCAGAGGCACACGGACGCGCGCGCGCCCGCGCGCACTCGCGCGGGAGATCCCGCATTTTCAAACTTCGCCGATCAGCCAAGCTCCTTGACAGAGTAACGACATCCCAATGGGTTGGCAATTGGAGAGCGCTTAACCCAACTGCCATTAACCTGGAGTGGATCACATGCGCCCGAGGGGAATATACGGACTCCACTGGAGGCGCACCCGCCCGCGTCCTGGAAGCCATGAATGATCCGCCCGTGCGCACGCAAGTGGGCGCGCGCGCCAAATGTGTGCCAGTCTGCTGCGGCGGGTCCTCCGCGGGGAGCCCCATCGGTCCTCGGGGCACGGGTGGCTTGGCCTCATCGGCGACCGACTGGGCTGGATATGTGCCCGGCTGCTGGCTGTTGGGGAGTTCGAGGGGCGCTGACACTCCGCCCCCGCCGGCCGGCCGCCCCCCCTGTCTGCGAGGCCAGAGCAGGCTCGAGCCCCTGGGGCTGACTGGCACTCATGCGTGTGCATCTGCGTGTGTATGTCTATGTCTATGTGTGTGTGTGTCTGCCAGCAGTCTGCCCTCCCCCCACGCTCGCGCACTTGTGTACCCAAGTCCACGGGGCCCTTCCGGTGTGTTCCTGTCGGCCCGGCCGGTGCGTCGAAGGGCCCCCGACGAGCGCGGTCGCCTGACAGATAGACCCCCGCCCCGTCGGAGGCCGTATCGCTTGGGCCCCGTCGAGGCCGAGATTACGCTGGGCCTTCTTCTGTGAGCCGCCCGCCACCCCGGGCCGGGCCGGGGGGGGGGGGGTTGCACACGGGGCTCAAATGCCCGAGGGTGTGCTCTCGCTCACCAGCGGGGGGATGGGGGGAGTCCACCCCTTGTCAAGAGCGGGTCACGCTTTCTCTCCCTCTCCCGGGAGATGCCTGCATCCCCGGGGGCGTGGTCCGCCCCCTGCGCCTGGACGCAACAGCGGCCTCCCTGGGGGATGGCTGGATCTGCCACCTCCCCCCGGAGAGGGAGAGAGACAGGGGGGGGGGGGGGGGAGAGCGGGGAGATCGATTAGAGTCACCTTGCGACGCCGACCTTCTCCTCGAGGAAGTCGGTGATACGAGAATAGAGATCGGGCTGGGTGCGGGCTCCCCGTGCGGCTTTCGCCCCCTTCTGACGACCTCCCCCGCGTATGGCTCCAGGCGGCTCCTCCTGGCCCCCCTTCCCACGATAGGGGGGGGGGCGAACGGAGGCGGGCTAGGGAAAGAGCCGTGTGGGAGTGCTCTCGCTGGTGTCCACCAAGCCGAGCACCGGTGCCTGGTCTTGGCCGAAGAAACCAGTCTCGCGGCCAGGGTGTTGGGCGGCTGACGGCCGCCCCGTCCCCCCCCCCCCCCGCCCCGCCCCCCGTCGGTTGGGCCTCAGGCCTCTCGAGGCTGGGGGGGGTCCTGTGCGCGCCAGTTCCAGTGCCCCTTTCCCTCGTGCGCTCCGGCCGGGGTGTTTTGATTTTCCGTCGCCCGATTCTGGCCAACGAATGGCCGAAGCACATGCGTCTGGCCGGGGCACGGCCGCCCCAGAGGCCCAGGCGTGAGAGGGGGGGGCACATATTTCAGTCGGTTGCCAGGGGATTGATGCGTCCTCGCTGACACCAGACCCCTCCGCCACTTTCCTCCCCCTTTCCCTCTTCGTCTGCTTGCATCCCCACCGTTGCCGCCAGCACCCCCACTGCGCCATTGCCACCATGTCCAACGAGTACTACCTCATTAAGATCCCCATCTATGAGACCCACATCGACCAGAGCGGCACCACCTTCATCGTACGCACCCGCCAGCGTGGCTGCTCCTCCGCCTGTACCCGCCTCTTCTTCTTCTTCTTCTTCCCCCTTTCGCCCACTCACGCCGGTCTCCCGTGTCCCTGCACACCCCTCCCCACGCGCACAGTCCTACAAGGTTGAGGCCACGTACAAGGGCACCATCAACTCGGTCTTCCGTCGCTTCTCCGAGTTCGTGACCCTTCACAACGAGGTGCGTGCAGTAGTTGCCACGCGCGCGCGTTCTCCCCCCCCCCCCTCTCCCCTCTCCCCTCTCCTTCTCCTTTGGACTCCACTCACTCTTTGCTGCCCCCCTCCTCGATTTGCATGCTCCGGAATGTGTGCGGACTTGGCTCCCCCCCCCCCTCCCTCCCCCCAGGTCCGCAAGGCTTACAAGGGCAACCACCTGGCCTCCAACATCCCGGTCTTCCCCCCGAAGCACCCCAAGTTCATGGTACGTCCAAGCCCCTCTCTCCCCCCGGCCGGGGAAGGTGCTCGGTCGGATTCTGCCTGCCATTCTGCCCGTTCCCCCCCCCCCCCACGCTGACCTGGCCCTCTTCGCATCATCCGGCGCCGGCGCGCCGCCCTCACCGCGTCCTGGCACAGATTGACCACATGGATGATCACTTCGTCGATGAGCGCAAGTTCAACCTCGAGCGTTACATGCAGCTTCTCAGCCGCCTGCCGAAGATTGAGCAGGTTCCCATGTATGTGGACTTCCTCGAGGGGCGTCCCCTGCAGCCCTCTGACAAGAAGTAAGGCGCACGCACGCGTGCACACACAGACACACAAGCGCGACATGTGTCCCTTGCGTGGCCGCGCAGCCGGATGCTTTCCCTCCTTTTCCCTGTCCCCCGTTCTCCTCTCGCCCGCCCCCCTGGGTGTGTCCCATCCACTGGACATCCATTATCCACTCCTGGTCCCAGGAGGGCCAGGTGATGGCGTGTGAGAGGTGGTGTGCCCCCCCCCCCCTCCCCCCCCTGCCCTTTTCCTTCTTCCTCGCCCATTCCTCCCTGAATCTCCCCCGTTCCGTGGCAGTCAGCTGGGAATGAAAGCCCCCCTTTGCACCATGGCCAGGGTCTGTCCTTGAGATCTCTTCCTCCCCTCCCTCTTCTTCCTCCGCTTCTTTTTTCCCTCCCTGCCAAAATGTACGCCTAGATACTACCAATGCCGCCCCTCTCTCCTCCGCCGGCTCCCAGTGGGGCAAAATGGGACAGGGGGCGGTATGCACACAAATGTGCCCAGGACAGTCGTCGCACCATGGTGGAACATACGGAGGGGGCGAGTGTGTGTATTGTGCGACAAACGCCAGGAGGGCAATCTAGAGGGAGGTGCGGTAGATGGGCGAGGGGGGGGGGGGGATGAGGATGGGAAAAGGGGGGAGACAGAGGTAGGATAGGAGACCCATCCATGGGTGGGGAGATGGGGTCGAGAAGGAGGGGAAAACTCAAGGACAGGATGCGAGTGGGCTGTTCGCTCGCGGGTGGGATTGCGGGGGGATTGCACAGGGGAGGAGGGGGACAGGTGGCACCCGCTCACCGGAGGGAGTACCGACTTGGTGTGGCAACGGCCCCACTTGGAGAGGGGCTCACCACCCCGCCGGCCCCAGGGTGTGTCGAGGGCGAGAGGCCCGACGCTCCTGCACCCAAGGGTGACCGGCCGGAGTCCGCGTCCAGAACCGCGGCCAGCACCGCCGTCGATGTGGCCGACGGCTGGCCGAAGGACCCGCATTGCAAGCAGGCACACAGGCAGCGCGTGGTCAGGCCAGAAGCCGTGCAGGCCCCATGGGCACGAACGGCCGTGCGCAGTGCCTCCGCCAGATACATGGCCCCAGAGCCGGGGTCCTCCGGGACAAAGCGCATCCCCTGTAGCGGGAGTGAGGCGGCGGCCGCAGCGGCAGCAGCCATAGCGGCCGCCGAGGCCGCGCCGCCTGGCGGCGGCGGCGGGCCTCCCCAGGCCACCTGCTGGGGAAGGGCACCGGCGCTGGCCGAGTGCCGGTCGCGCGGAGGACGCATGCTGGTTGACCCGGCCAAGGATGGCGGCCCGGCCATCGGCCAGTCTGCGCCCCCGCCGACGGGCACATCGCCAGGCATGTATTCCATGGTGTCCTCATCGCTGCTATCCAGCCCGGTATCGAGGAGGCTCAGCCCGGACAGATGTTGCCCCCCGGCCGGGGCGTCGGATCCGAGTGGGCGCAATCCGCCAGACAGGGGCCGGCTGCGCAGCACCCCCGGCGGCGGCGAGTCCAGCGAAAAGTGCCCCGAAAATGGAGCCCCACCGCCAGCTCCGCCGGGGATGGCGGTCAGCGGGCCACCGCCCATCGGCCCGGCATGCGCCAAGTCCGACAGGGAGAAGCTGGCCGACCGAATCATGCCAGTGCTGTGGCGATCGAGCCCCGTCACACGAGCCCCGATCCCCGGCGCGCGGAGGGCAAAGCACCGGAGCAGGGACTCCGAGTCCAGGGTGGCCGCCGGACCGAAGAAGCCCCCGCCCCCGGTGCGATGGTGGGTCGAGGACCGCCCGCACCGGATGAGGAACTCCGTGCCCGGAGGACTGTTGACCCGGACAATGTAGCCATACTTTTCGCGCTTGCGACGCAGTGACGCGGTCATGACCAGCGATGCGGCCACCTCGTCAGCCAGCGAGCTGGAGGAGGAGGCCGATGACGCACGGGGATCGGCCCCCCCGCTCCCGGCAGGCCCGCCATCCAGCCCGAGGCCCGACAGGGGGGGACTACCGCCTCCGCCGATCCCGGCAGAGGCCGCCTGGAAGGATGATGCCGAGGAGCTGCGCCCATGGCCGTTGGAGGCGCCAGCCCCATTGCCTGGGCTAGGCTCCAGGACTAGGCTCTCCCGCGAGGGGGACAGTCCAACCGGGGCGGCTGCCTGGTCGGCTGCAAAGGGAGTGCCAGTTCCAAGGCGCCGGGTGCCAGCACCAGACCGCCCGGACGAAGCTCCCGCACTACCGCCGCCACCCTTGGGTGGGATCAGAACATGGATCACCGATTCGTGTGACAGCGAAACGACCGTGTGCGGCAGGGTCGGGTGCCGGGCCTGGGGCAATGTCACGTCCGGGCCGGGAGTGGCGGGAGGCGAGACAGGGCCGAGAGGACGGCAGTCAGAGGGCAAGAGCGAGGGAGGATGCAGCAAGAAAGAGTGTAAGAAGATGCAGAGGATGCAGAGGATGCAGAGGATGCAGAGGAGGAGGAAGAAAGAGCCCGCACAAGTTCACCGGCGGTCCGCGCACGAGGCAGCGCCTGCCCAGAAGCACCCGGGACATAGAATAGCAGCCGTGCGCCGGCCATCAGGTAGATGACGCACTCGCGCCAGCGGCGCTCCGAAAGCCCGCGAACATCGGCCCCGGCGCTTAGCGTCTGTGTGCCTGCCTCGCGGGACATTTGCCAGAAGCGCACCCGCGACCACTTGACCCGGACATGGCCCAGCGACACCACCCGCGAGAGGGGCAGCGGCAGGCCGCACAGGCCGCACGTGTCCAGCTGCTGGTGCTGCTGCCCGAGCCCGGGCTCCAGGGCGCCGCCGATGCTGGGGCCCCGACGAGTGGCCGCCCCGCCGGGAGTGAAGCCCACCGGCGTGGCCAGCGGCGTGCCGGTGGCCATGCGCGCGGAGCCCGGCCGCGGCGATGCGGTCGCCTTGCCGCCGCCGCCGCCGGTGCTGCCGCCGCCGCCGCCGCCGCCGCCGCCGCCGCCGCCACCCGAGCCGGATGAGGGGGACGGTGCGAACAGCAGTCCGCTGGAGCTGGCGGACAGCGACGCCGAGGAGGGGCTCGGCGAAATTTGAAGAGGAGGAGCCAGGGCTCCACGAGGGGGGGTGGCCGTCAAAGCGGGCACCTCTGATTCGGACAGCCGCGTGGTCGCCAGCCCCAGGATCGCCACATTTGGATGGCTGCCAGCCGGGGTCAGGGCGGAGTTGGTGCCGACTGCCGACCCTCCAAAGGCCCCGGCCGAATCGGCCGACCCACCGGCCGCCAGCAGAAGCTCCGAGTGGGAAGACCGCGCCGAGGAGGGCTCCGCCACGAGGGTGGCCTCGGAGCCGGTGGCCTCGGAGCCGGTGGCCGCCGCCGCCGCTGCCGCCGCCGCCGCCGCCGGCCCCAGCCCCGGCGTGCTGACGCGCGTGCCGGCGGCGGCCGCCGTGGAAGGATCCTCCCCGGAGGCTGGCACCTCGGCCGCATGGAAGATGGCCAGGCTCCGAAGGGGGTGATCGCGGGCATCACCCCCCAGGGGAGGCGCCCCGACAAGATCCCCCGCCGGGGGAGACATGGGCCCGCCCCCGGTCGAGGTGGCGAGCAGCGAACTCCGACTGGCCGGCCGGCTGGGCGTCCCCCCATTGATCGGGCTCGCTGTCTGGTGCAGAGACGATGGCCAGCTGGTGGAGTTGGGCAGGTGCCCCGGGCCATCGACAAGGCCATCCCCGGCTCCAAGCCCGGCGATGCTGCTGCTGCTGGCGCTGGCGCTGACCCCGGAAATGCCGGGCCCAGGCCCGGGGCCCGGCGATCCGCTGGCCCCGCGACGCTGGCCGGCGGCAAAATGCCCCACCACCGCACCAGAGGGGTGGAGATGCTCGGCGCTGGTTGACGCGGCCCCGCCGCCACCCGAGCGCCCTGGCAGGGTGGTGGTCGAGCCGCCCATGGGCGAGATGGAGGAAACCGGCGAGAAGGCACCCCCTTGTGAAGCAGGGGACCCGGTGGACCCGGGCGAGAGGACCGCAATCGTCGGCACGCTCGGCCCAGGGAGATCGGATCCCGTGCCCCATCGACACCGGCACAAGGGGACCTCCACCGTCCCAGGGCCCACCCCGACGCCGAGGTGAATGTTGAGGCTGCTGCCGAGGCTGCTGCCCACCGTGCGAACGGTCTTCTTCAGACGCTGGAAGAAATTCGAGGGCGATTGCGATGCCGGGGTGCTGGCCGGTGCAGGGAGCAAATGGCCCGGCTGCGGGGCATGGTGGTGATTGTGCTGATGGCCCGATGATGGGACCGGAGGGTGGTGCGAGGCAGGTCCCAGGGTGGCCGGCGGCTCGTCGGCCGGTGCGCTGCCACCATCTCCCACCCCGGGCAGAGCCTCGTCCAGCGAGCTCATCTGCCCGGACCACCCCGGGAAGATTGGTGTCATCGGGGAGGCCGTGCGCAAAAGCGCCCCAGGGGTGGCGGTGGCCGACCCGACGGTCGGGGCTTCGGACACCGAGTCCACCAGGGCCCCGGGTCCGGTGCCGGCGCCAGCGCCACCACCATGACATGCGGCACAGCCACAGAAGCAGCAAAACCCGGCCCCCAGGAAGGCGGGCACCTCCGGCGGATAGCCCATCGTCGGGGACAAGCCAAACATCGAGTCATCATCGAGCAGGCTATTCCGGGAGCCCCCGCCCACCGACCGCACAGACATGCTGCTGGAGATCGGCGGGGCGCCGAGCTCCTGCGCCAGCAATGACGTTGGCACATTGATGGCGCTGATGGAGCTGGCGGATCGCCGATGGTGATATGCCCGGTGTCGGCCGGAGGGCGCATATGCTGATGCACCGGCTGGAGCCAGTGGCAGTCCGGGCCCGCCGACATCCGGACCCGATGTCGGCGGACTGTGTGACGTCGCCAAGGACGAGGCGCCCGACCGGGTGGATGGCCCCGAGGAGGGGGCTGGCGGTGGCCCGGTGGCCAGGGCCGACCGGGGCCGCATCCCTGGCGATGGAGCCGGCTCGGTCGGAATAAACACATCCGAGTCCGACTCCGAGGCCGGCCCGCTGGCGGGAAGTCCACTGCCGATGCCCCCCATGGGAACTGGCGAGGCATGGGCAGACCCGGACCCGGACCCCAGAGCCGGGGGATGGTCGCCCGGCGCCTGCGCCGACACACACCCCGACTCCGGAACCTCCGACAGGGCCGAGGACACATCCACCCCAGGGAGCTGCAGCGCCGTGGCAAAGATCTCCGGCTCCGTCATTCGCCCTGACAGCCGGGGGGAGGCCGGTGGCAGGCGGTCCTCCGAAGACGAGACGTCCAAGCCGGCACGCGACCCTGATGTGAGCCCTGCTGACCGGGCTGCCGCTGCTGCCGCGGCGGCTGCAGCCAGTGTGGCCGCCGTGGCCGCGGTCGGCCCCGTGGACGCGGCAGCTGTCATGGGTGGACCCACCTCCGGCGAGAGGGGACCAGCCGGCTGTTGTTGTTGTTGTTGTTGCTGGTGCTGGTGCTGCTGCTGGTGCTGCTGCTGCTGCTGCTGCTGCGGTGTCGGCTGGGCTCCGCCGGGGTTGGACGACCCGGTGCCAGTGGGTACTAGGGGGGATACTGGCTGCCCGGTGGCCAGCGACTGCATGGCCAGCTGTTGCAACGGCGTCGGCGGCATCTGCACCACCGGCGACGGGAGCATGGAGAAGGGGTCTCCGCCGTCCAGGAAGATGCGGATCTGTTCCTTGCTCTCACGCTGTGTCGAGATTTGGAAGTTTTCCGTCTCCATGGCCGAACGGAACTCGGCCAGCTGAGCCAGCTGTCCAAGGAAGGACTGTGCCCCGGAATGGTTGGAGAACCGGTGCGCATACAGGCAGGACAGGGACTGCAAGCCCTCAATGCGCTCCAGGGTCTCCTCCATCTGGGTTGACCCGACCGTCTGGCGATTGGCCTCCGACTGGTGCATCAGGTCGGTCAAAATCAGCCCAACAAAGGGGATTGATGGGGTGGAAGTGGACTCCAGCTTCCGCCGATACCGACGGAAGTTGTCATCGGTTGCCATGAGCTTCTCCATATTGGCGAAGGTGCTCCGATGGCGACGGGAGAGGTGCTGCAGGATGTTGTGCATGCGCGCATGCATGGGCGTGGGCGTGGGCGTTTGCATGTGTCCGCACATGCATGTGTTCGCACGTGCATGTGTTCGCGCCCGTCATAGAAGCGGGGGGGGGGGGG